TTTTTTTTTTTTTTTTTTTTTTTTTTTTTTTCTTTTTATTCAATATTAATAGCACCAGAAATTGTTATAGGATGGAAGGTGATGTATGCTCCCGAAACAGGATGCAAATGGGATGCATTCAGTCGTGCTATACGTGACACAACAGAGTGGGTGGGTGCGGATGCATCAGCAGGCATGTGTTCAGGCGGGCATACCGCCCTTCCACCCATGCATTAAAGCACAGGGGGGCAAAGACACCAAAAAAAAAAAAACAAACACCCCATGTGGAATGTTACAAAAATGCGCATAACCAATTGGTGGATGGACAAAGGTGTGGGAAGAGGTAAAGAACATTATCTAGTTTGAACGGAAAGAAGCTTTTCCATTTTTTATATTTTTTTCGTAAGGCAAATATAGACGGAGCATTCCGTTTGTGTGCGCAATGGTTCTTTTTTTGGGCTCTGTGAACAGCTGTTCTTTGCCCATTCCAACAGCTATGCTCACCGTTACGAAAAAACATTTTGCTTCTGGTGGGATGAATAGACACCTTTTCTCACCTTGTGCCAAAATTCAGCGCTTGAAAAAAGGAAGTGGAGAGGGCGCTGTTGGAATGGAATAACATTCTGCAGTGCGAAATGAAGTAAAAAAAATTAACAAAAAAAAAATTAACAACATGGCAAAATAACGTTAAGCAATATCCCATTCGATGTACCTCAAAACAGAGTGACAATTTTGTTATTTTATTATTTTTTTTTTGTCTCCCACCAAAAGGTAGACATAAATCCCCTCTTTATAAATCCCAATGGACATTGCCATTTTCCCTCTCTCACCAAAAGGGGTATGTTACAAGAAATTTTTGTTGCCATTCCGGTTAATAGGTCTCCAACAACATGTGGCAATTGTGAATGCTGCTTGTAATCGCGACATGGTTTGCGATTCCCCTTCGGTAACACATACATGGGGTTGCGCCACGAATGTTGTTAAGGGCGTCTGGCCATCCGTCATATTTTAACAAAGGTTAATAATTGTGTGTATACAGGTGGGACTATTTCGTATGCGGAAATAACTCACCAAATGTATTTTTTTTTTTTTTTTTTTTTTTTTGCTGACCTGTTCATGTAATTTTGTTCAAACAGCTACAACATTTGGAGGGGACAAATAGTTGCGCGCTGATGTATTGGCTAACAACAGAGGGTTGTTCATTTGTATTTCTTCAAAACTCGCATTGTCATGTAATTTTTATTTGTATAGAGTATCCTACGTATGGAAGGGTACGAAGCGGGATTATTTTTTCTTTATTAAACATCTTTATATGATATCCAATTTGGGGGGAAAAAAATGAAAGTATAACGAAACCTTTGCGGGGGGGAAGGATAACGGAATAATTTATCTTAACAAGTGTTGCCTGTGCATGTTTTTTTGTTTTTACGCGGCACCCTTCCCTTTTTGTGCTTATGACAGGGTCGCATAAAGCGTGTTAGGGGTGGCCCGTCGTTTGCTTTTCTGCACTAGCAATGCTTCCCTTATGTTACCTGTCTCACATCCTCATTGAAGGAAGAGCGAAAGTAATATTTTGGCATTTACCCCCTTACGGCACCATTTTACCGGGAAGTACCTGCAGAGGGGCGAGAAAAATGGGCCCGCCACCGGCAAGCCGCCGTCCCCATTCTGCCGCCACGCATAAATAAGCACAAAAGGGATACGCGCAAGCATACACCATGTGGCGGAGTCGTGACCGCGGGGAGCAGCGGAAAAGCGACAAAAAAACCAGAAGCGGGTTTTTTCCCCCCAATGCGGCGAATTATTAGGGACGTCAAGGAAAAAAAAAAAACAAAATAAAAATAAACAAATAACATCTCAATAGCTAGCGGAAAAAAAAAAAAAAATTGTAGGAAATAACATCCCATTGCGCAACAGCTAAAAAGAGTAGCAAAACGTTTGGGGAAAAAAAACTTGTATGAAAAATTATTTATGTAGCATATAAAATATCCCTTTAGGGGAACACGAGAAAACGCAGAAAAACACAAAAGCGTGAAATTTCAACCCAACCCAATCATAAGTGAAACAACCAACTGAACGTAAAAGGTAAGTTGTTGTTCCCCTCGTCAAGGGAACAAATTAAAGATTACGTTTCCCATGCGGCTGAGGGAGAGAGGCAGGGGAAAACAGCCCATTTTGAAAAGTATGCCTAATGGGAAAAAGGAGTGGGACTCAAAATTGGGAGCCAAGCATCCCGCATAGCAAAAAAATAAAAATATAATAAAATAAAAACGCCAAAGGAAAATGCATATAAAAAGAGAATTCCCACCACAAAGCTATTAAGCGGTAGGAGGGGACATTTCTCTTTGGCCCGAAGTGTTTAACAAACATGATGGATGGATGCCATGGGACGAGGATGCCCCCTCCTTCCATGTGAAGAAATTAGAAACACCCCTATATTTGCGCTCCTTTCCCTTTTTTTTTTTTTTTTTTTTTTTTTGTTTTTTTTTTTGCCATCCCCTGAGCAGTTAGCACACAATGGCGACGCGATTTAAGAAGAACAGGAAAAAGAGAGGACATGTGTCCGCCGGTCATGGTCGTATTGGCAAGCACAGAAAGCACCCCGGTGGAAGAGGAAAGGCTGGTGGTATGCACCACATGAGAATCAACTTTGACAAATATCACCCGGGTTACTTTGGAAAGGTGAGCTTTAACGCGAGGGTCCTAGTGCGAGAGTGACACTTCGCGCGTGCTCATATTCGCGTGAGCAGTTACCGTGTTACAATGTGTTACAATGCGTGCGTCACTCCCCCCCGCCCATTTCCTTTCCCCCCCCCCAGGTCGGAATGAGACACTTCAACCTCCTCAAAAACCGCAAGTTCTGTCCCACCATAAACGTGGACAAGCTGTGGGGACTCCTACCAGAAGAAAAGAAAAAAGAATTTTTCGAAAATAAAAACATTGCCCCAGTGATAGACGTGACCAGAAAGGGCTTCTTCAAGGTCCTCGGTAATGGAAAGCTCAAGCACAACCAGCCCATTGTCGTCAAGGCCAGGTACTTCTCTTCAGTGGCCGAGAAAAAAATTAAGGCAGTTGGGGGCCAATGCATACTGGTGGCTTAAGCGGCACAAAAGGGGAAAAAAGGAACAAAAAAGAACAGAATAGAAGACGAACAGAACACGCATAGAAGAGGAAAGAAGACTGAAAATCACCCATAACACTGCTAACGCTACCACTCCCCGCAGTGTTCACATTTTTCATTTTTCACCTTTTTTTAACGCCAAGTACATGTTAGTGTGCATGCCTTCTCCTTACGTTTCATGTGACCTGCCCAGCGCAGGAGCAACTCCGAACAGACCAACAAATGCGTAGAAACGAAACGCTCTTAAAGACGCCATAAAATTAATATTAAAAAAAAAAAAAAAAATTCGCGTTCATTTCGAAACGGAAATATGAATCGAATCTCGTAAAATAGCGGTCGATTGGGTAAAATGAGAAAACCCACAAACTGATCAACAAAGAAATGAAGGTTGAATGGGTAACAGAGCATGGGACGCAAGGGAAAACCCAACCAGGTCTTCTTTTTGCACATGCAAAAAAGCAATGTAACTGTTGTAGGTGCATGACATGAACAGGCCCACTCTGCAAAAATATTCTTCGTATGTATAGAGATGGGGCTATGTTGCTCATGCAAGTAAACACGCAAATACGTGAACATGAGAGATGCAGTGTCTTCCTTCTTTGGTACGCCTCTCTCTCCCCTGCTCCGTTTTACAAATGCACACCATCCCTCTCCCGATCGTTCAAACAAAATGGAAGCGCTCGTACGCGAACTGTCGTAAGGGCATCCAATGATTTGACGTAGCTCTGTTTGGTTAGGGGGGATACATACCCTTTTCTCTATCGTGTCGTGTGTGTAGCACATTCTAATTAGTTCTTTTCTTCCTTACAATCCCGCATGGTGAGCGAGTCATATTGATTTTCATTTCTTGTGGTGACCTTGCCCATCACTTCTAGACGTGGTGTTGCTTTCTATATCAACATCTAACTGTCCTTCCAACTCCATGTCTGAGACTACTCCCGGGTCTACTTCACTCCGTTGGTTTAGGATCTTCCGAAAGGTGGGTGGCATGAAGATGGAAAACAGGCCGCTCTTCTCGGGCACGAAAAAGAGCAGGATGGTTAGCGCATTGGCAGCTAGAAGTAGGTAAAGGAGGCCGTTCTTTGCGTACAGGTCTCTGCAAGGTGAGAACATGTACAAATGGATTGACGTGAACAAAAAAAAAAAAAAGGGGTGGAAGTATACACCGTGAAGGTGTCCACGGGACGCTCCTGCGCGGTGTTCAGAAGTCCCCCCGCTGGAGCAGTCTCCGTCCCAGTAGCAAATTCAAAACGCAAACCGCTCGCCTCACCCGATGATGCTCAAGTTCTTCAGGGCCAAATCGAAAAAGGTGAATGCGTATGGCTCCTTTGCATACTCAGGAAAGAGTCTCTGCAGACAGGACATGAGGGGGAAAAAAAAAAAAAAAGAAAAGAAATATGAGTTGGAGAATAATAATACGTTTGGCGCAAATCTAGTAGACCTGGAAAACCTTTGGTGTGTAACCCCCTTGGATGTGACATAATTTGTCACCCTGCCCGTTTGAGGAGCAAATGTCGTCGAGAGGGTTACAACGTCCACTTTGCTTCCAACTCGCTTGGGAAATCGCTTTCCTTGCCGATCCTACCAGTAAGACGGGGGCCGCCCCGGACGATACAAATATGAGGAGACACGTGTTCAGCAGGATGGTATTCAGGTAGGTGTTCTTCCTCTCCAGGAAAAAAAAAAGCCCTAGCTTTAGCTTATAAAATGAATGGGGGAAATGGCGCATGGGCAGGATGTAAAGCACATGCAGTGTCATGGAGGCAATAACACATCACTCGCCATCCCAAATATACATCTCACATACACATCTGCTCAAAATGAAAAAAAAAAAACTTGCCTTTTCCCCTCCGTGTGCATGAACCCAAATCGCACAACTCTCGCGCTCACCTTGTGGCAGATGTAAGAAAAGCCGCAAAACGCGCAAAGGAGAAGGTAGGACGTCACCAGGGGGTAAACCAAAAGCGAAAGGGAAAGTGAGTCCTTCCGCGCAAGGAGCTGCAGAGTGGTGGTAGAGATAAAAAAAAAAAAAAAAGTTATTCACGGTTAGGGTTCATTACACCATGTGGGGGAGTTTGCCTAATGGTGGCAACGGATCCTTAGCTCGTGTACTAATGAAAGTGTATTGAACAACTTTCATAGAAGAAGGCTTCTTCGGATGAACCCCTCTCTGTCTCTCTATCTCTCCCCACTCACGTACCTCCTGCGCAGCGTCCCAGTGGAGAAGCCAGCCGCGCAGTAAGTTGCCCCCTCCGGTAGGCCCCCTCCAGATACACAAGCAGATGTGGACAATTATAATCGCATTAGCGAATAAAAAAAAAAAACCCAAGAGGAAGAGACCAAAAGAAGAAGCAGCACTTGTTGGGTTGTTGTAACGGTGCACCGATCTTTCATATTGGACTACTAGCCTGTGCACCATGTAGTTCAGAATTCTTTTCTTTCGTTTGTGCCGCATATTTTGCAAAAGGGACATGAAATAATTCGTCTTCCGTGTTTTCTCCCTCTTGAGTTCCACCTCATGGGTGATCTGTAAAAGCTCTTCTGCCTTTCTGTTGATGAGAGTAAGCTCATGCTTGAATAGGGCTTCCCTCCTTTCGTCCGAGCTGTTCGCCAGGACCACGTTGTTAGCTTGGACAACGCGATTGGTTTCTCCCCCCTGATAACGCTTTACGCCGGAAAAGAATAAACCAAGTGGAAGGGATACCAATCCGATGCCCCCGTAGAAGGCAAAGCTAAGAGATCCCATCAACGAGACAAACATAATAAAGTAATCACTCACATATACATTAAAGTCAATTCGTATATTTTCATTTCCCACGTGTTGGCAGGTCTTCCTACTCCTCAAATTCAATGAGAGCAAATTTTTTTTATTGGTTTGCTCTAAGTAGGGGTACCACATTGTACAAGCATCCGCATTTAAGGACAAGCTGATTTTGTGAAAGTACAGGTAGGTTAAAAAGAAGAGGCAGCATGACAAGGAAATGGAGAGTACCCATATGAGATGTACCTTTTTACATATGGCACTTGTCGCATGTTGTGTACACATGTTGCTGAAGTAACTCCTCCAATGACTGTTTCTTCGTTTGGTAAATCGATTCGCACACTGCTCTCCGTTGGACCCTTGTCCTCCTTCCGAGTAGATCACTGTTAAACATGGCGCTATGATTAGTACGTGAATTACGATAATGGCGTACATTGTTTTGTACAGCTGGGTGGTGTTGATATACTCCTTCACTTTTGGAAGGGAGTCTACTTGGGCCACTGCTGGCACGAGGATTATCATCCCCATGCATTGTATGTACCCCATGATAATGACGAGCTTTACAATTGTGTTTACAAAATTGTTTCTCTCGTCTTTGTGGCAATATGTCCTAAGCACCCTCCACCCTGCCACCCCCGCGGCAGCCATGTACCCGGCGAGCACGGCCAATAGGGCATACGCATGCATCTTGTGGGGTAGGAGAAAGCAAATGGCGGCTTCCAATTACGCCTCTGCTCGCACGCTCTTACAAATGTGTGCGTCGACACAGGTGTAGATTGCTAAATTGGGGGGGCTCGAAGGGGGGGAAGGTGAACTTGTCGCTTCCAACCCTTTGTCGGCATGCCCAGCGGCGAATCGCCCCGGACTTGGTTTGCATCTGTTGGAAGTTGAGGGGCTATAAATACATGGCTTTAATTGGTTGACTTTACGCCATCCAATTATTTGTTTCCCCTTTTGCGAAGCTGCAAATGAGGGGTTACAAACTTGCAAATAGCAAAAGTGGAGAAAAATTGAGGCTTATTTCGACGTAAAAAAGCACAATTCCAGAGTAACTCTAAGGTGAAAAAAAAAAAAAAAAATTAAAAGTTCGACGGAGGGGAGTTGCTCCATCCTACCTTCCGCCAATTTGCGGATGTTCGACGAGTAGAATTATTCGGTTGATTTTTTTTTTTTTTTTTTTTTAAAAAAAATGGCTAGTTGGAAAAAAAAAAAAAAAAAAAAAAAAAAAGAGTATGCCATGCAACGCCATCATGTCCAGCACAACGCGGCGTAGACAAAGACACAGATCGAACAGAAAAAGAACATTTACCTTACTGCTTTCATTGAGCAGTTGCATTTTCTGACCATTTTAATGATGCACCATGGGAACAGGAAAAGAAAAAATAAACAAAAAAAAATACCCTTACTTTGCGGATACGTGTGCTATGTGTAGATGGAGACGCCCCTCTGCACATCACAAAACGGGTGACCCTTTTTTTTTTTTTTTTTTTTTTTTCCCATTCAGGCTTTCATTATTCCAATTGGAAGCTTAACCCGTTAGGATGCGACATGTTTCTTGTGTCAAGAAAGTGAGAATGACACATTTTATGTACCCCACGGTCATGTGTAGAAGCGTTTGGAGGAGTAGCCCTTGGGGGAGGGCGCAGTCTCAACAGGAGATTTTGTTTACACGCCCCTGTGTATCCCTACATGCTACATTTTGTTTTGATGGAAAAATGAAAAAAAAAAAAAAGAAATATCACATGAATATGCTAAAAGGGGTGATTGTGCAGGAAGTGCGCAAGTTTTCTTTTTGGAGAGAATATTTTTACACCTGATAAGTATTTTTTTTTTTTTTTTTTTTTTTTTTTGAGGTGCACTGAAATGTGCTGCTATATATTATCCACCCACGATGGCAATTTTATCACCTATTCTTTGACTCCGTTTTGACTACTTACCAAATGGTCACACGTACGTAAAATCAACTAGCACACTTGCTCTTCAAAGGGCCGCGATTGTGGTGACTGGTCGGCTTAGCGGTGTTTAAAAAAGCGTGTTTTAAAAAAATGGTGGTAGAAACAAAAAATATCCGGCGAAAAGGAAAAGCCTTGCCTGCAAAATGACCCTATCACACAAAGAGCCTTGTGCAAAATAAAGCTATCGAGTGAAAAAACACTATCAAGTATAATAACACTGTCGAGTGAGAAAACACATTTCAGCGCTTGCTACACCACTCTCGTTTTTCCGCGCCAAAGCTGGAAGTAGCTACATCACCTCAAACAACACAGCGATACGGAGGTAGGAAAGGAACAAAATATAAATAAAAAAAAAACAAAATACCAAAAGTGCCTTGCCTGTTCAGGCGATTTGTGCTCTTGTGTACACGCGCATACATATCGTACACAAAAAGTGGTGTGAAAAGTTCTACGCATCATCCGACGGTGTGAAGCTGGGGGGGGGAGAGTAGGAACACCAAAAGGAAAGAATTTTGCAAAAAGAGGAGAGAGTTTGTTGTGATTTTTCCTTTTTTAAAAATAATCCTTACGATTTTCCCTCCCCTGCACACAACACATATATATATGTATATATTATATCGCTCTGCTTCGCCGCGTTACCTTCCGACCTGTAGGACTTCACACACACGCTCTGTACAGATTATCATTTCCCCATTTCACACACACAGTGTTTGGACAAAATGGTAAAAATTTCCATGGTAGGAAGCGGACAGATTGGAGCCATTGTGGGGCAACTGATCTTAATGGAAAATATTGGAGATATTGTTCTGTACGATGTCATGCAAGGAGTACCCCAAGGGAAGAGTCTGGACCTGAAACATTTTAGTACCATTGTAGGAGTGAACAAAAAAATCCTGGGTACGAATAACGTAGAGGATATTAAAGACTCTGATGTAATTGTTATAACGGCAGGTGTGCAAAGAAAAGAAGGGATGACAAGAGAAGATTTAATTGGTATAAATGGAAAAATTATGAAGAGTGTCGCTGAGTCAGTAAAATTATACAGCCCAAATGCTTTCGTCATATGTGTTAGTAATCCCCTTGATATTATGGTAAATGTTTTTCACAAGTATAGTGGTCTTCCACATGAAAAGATTTGTGGCATGGCTGGCATTTTGGACACCTCTCGTTTTAGATCCCTTCTGGGTGAAAAGCTAAACGTGGCTCCAGAGAATGTAAATCTGGTGTTGTTAGGAGGACATGGAGATCTGATGGTCCCTTTAGAAAGGTACTGTTCAGTTTCAGGTATCCCTTTATCAGAATTTGTAAAAAAAAAACTCATATCGAATCAAGACATTAATGATATTATTAAAGAGACTAGAGATATGGGTGCACAAATTATTAAGCTTTCTAAATCGTCTGCTACCTTTTCCCCTGCTGCTGCTATTGTGAAGATGATTAAGTCCTATTTGTACAATGAGAGTCAATTGTATACTTGTGCTGTTTATTTGAATGGTCTTTATAATTGTTCGAACTTGTATGTTGGGTCCACGGCCATAATCAATAGCAGTGGTGCCAAGCCAGTCGAGTTCGTTCTCACGAAGGAAGAGCAGGAGCTCTACGACAAGTCTATTGCCTTTGTGCACGAACATACGCAGAAGGCCTTTGCGCTGATTAACTAAGAGGGAGCACAAATCTGTGCATTTTTTTTTTTTGTTCTTAGCGGCAACTCACCGGTGTCTCCTCCCTTTTCCAGCGCTCCCCTCTACATATGTAGAGAAAAATGCGCCTTCTTCATGGCAAGCGCATTGCTGTTGAAAAGAGGTACCCTGCCGCGACTCACACACAAACACACGGGACGCATTAAAGTGCCAACCTTACCGCACTGCGATGAACGGTGCGATAAGCGCTACGATAAGCACTGCGCTGTGTGTTCATACTTAATTTTTGCCACAATTTACAGCTGGTAATTTAATTTTTTTTTTTTTTTTCTGTTAGCATGACATGAAAGTGATATGCGAAAAGGAAAAAAAAAAAAACAACACAAAAAATGACACGCATTATACCACGCGGTACAAGTTTACTCCAAAAAAAAAAAAAAAAAAAAAAAAAAACTTATTATGGGTGTGAACGCGCCTTTTAAAATGAACAATACCAAATAGAAAAAGACGTGAAGCTAATACAAAATAGACGTATGGCATGCACACGTCTCTTGTCCTACACCTAACACTTGGCCACGATCAAACTAATCAGGGTTGAACTCAGGAGTAGAATCAGCAAAATGGAGAATGTAAGTTTCACTTTCTTCTCCTGCCTGTAAAAAAAAAATGTGGACAGACCCCCAAATTGGGTAGTCATTATTGAAGCGGGTAAAAAATAAAATTTGCATCGTTGTCTTCCAACCTTATGGTGGCAGCTGCATATTTTCGCAGCCATGTGTCCAGGTGGCACAGCCGACCTCGGAGCCGCCCTACACGTTTGGCCACTCCTGTTTGCTTACCCATGGAAGGTGTCCTTTTTAATTAAGTACGGATAGCAGAAGCCACCAAAAATACCTCCCAGATGTCCCATTATGTTTCCTGCACGTGGGGGGGATGAAGAAGTGAGGTGAATTGGGGAAACAGCCAAATTGAAATGGCACCGAAAAATGGTGAGGAACAAAA